CTTGATTGCTGAGCGCTGACCAGACTGTCTTCGACACAGATTGGGGTATCGATGAGGAGGGGAGATCAGGGCTATGAGATTGGTTGTGAGAGAGAGGGAAGCTTACCTGATTATTGCTGTCGACGTTGTGCACTGCTGTGACGTCTTCATGGGAGATTTGTGCCTACGTGGCGCTATGTTGTGATCGATTCTCGCAAGGCTCGTCTTTGAGACACTGCACGCTGACGTGGACAGAGGGGAGATATGCCGACAGGAGGAGTGGGACATGAGGGAAATCTATCTTCGATGACATTGATGGATACTTTCTCTTCCACCCTCTAAGTCTCATCTCCCTCCTATCGGCTTCATCCTTAGGTTATGAGACATTGTACTTCGGATCACATTTTTCATGTTTATTGGAGACATTGACTTGTGCTGAGACATCTTGTACTTGGATCTGACTAGCTTTCCTATTGGCTGGGTTCATTGCAGTACCATAAGATGCAGGTACGACCTGACGATTAGCAAAAAAAACTGCACCCCAGACCAGGTATGGTCGGTAGCAGTTTTGTGGTCATGCCATCCAGACTTTGCAATGCACCATTACGCTCTAGCATGTCATGAACGAAGTCTTTATTGCCTACTTAGGTCAGTTTATCGTTGTCTATCTCTAGTACATACTTATTTTTGATAAGGTGAGCGAAAACAACACACAAGTGTAAGATCAGTAGAGGAAAAAGCGAGTTTGCACATGGTAAGGTATAAAATAAAATAAAATAATAATAATAAAAAAAAGGGTCTTATACTAGGGTAATGAGATCTCTGTGGAAGGTTTGAGTCTGGAAGTTGCAAAAGTGGCCGCCATTAGGGAGGGACTGTAATAGATCATTCTTAGGGATCGCAGGTTATTACAAAAAAAAACTATTTGCAAAAAATGACACAGCACCATAGTTTGGCCCTTGATTTTTTATCTCACGTGATTGGATACCCCTTCGGACGACTGGGATCACTCGTGTGAGAAGGCCTTAAAGGCAATCGACTAGAAAGCATGCCTTAATCAATCATTCATTTTAAAAAATTGCAGAACCACATCCACCTTTTTCATCGTTATCACTGACATTTGCCAGTATGGGATAGCCGTAGTGTTGTAGCAAGCAGAGGGTAAGAAGTAGAGGTCGGAAGAGTACATGTCGAAGAAGATGCCATCTCAAAAGCTAGCAGTCTACCAATGAGAAAGAGCTCTACAGTGTCTACACCCTGTACATGGCTTTGAAACACTGGAAACACTGTCCCTCTCCATTGAAGGCACTTCGTCGTAAAATCTGACTGTGAGACTCTCTCTCCAATGGATCAAAATTCATATATATTGTCACATCACTATGAACTAAAACAGCACACTTTGCGAAACAACGGGTAAACCCGGTAAAAAAAAATAATTAAAAAAAAAAAAAAAAAAAAAAAAAAGATGAGGGGCACACAAAGCATTCACTTTTCTCGTTCTTCTTTTAACTCCCCCTTCACCGTGCCTCTCACGTACAAGGCTTGCCACGTTGATGAAGTTAAGCGCAAGCTGCCCCCGCATCCCCATGTGCCATAATGGCTCACTTGTACGCCGGGAGAAAAGAGGCAGAGTAAAGGGGGAGGTGATAAACACAAGGAAGAGAGATGAAGAGAAATAGAAACAAAGAAGGAAAAAGGGAAAGTAAGGATAATAAAACGCTCAAGAATGAGTCTGTCCTTCACAACAGAGAGGACACACAGATCCCCCACGTGGTCTGCGCCTTGTGGGGGTTAACTGCAATCCGGGCAGATCATATTCAAATCCCTCAACGTTTGGCACCGCATTCTGAGTAGGGACTGTACCTGGAATCGGGAATGTACTCTGGGCAGGGACCACATCCTGGTGTACAGGTGAGTCGTGAATATCTAACGCTGAAGAGCATAACACATGGTGCTGTGGCTGCCTGCAGGCAGCTGGACTGTCTACAGGAGGCATAGGAGCGGATATTGTCATTTGGAACAAAGGAACAGCAACAACCTGTGGAGCAGGCACAGAGAGAATAGCGGCAGACAAGGAAACAGGCTGCTGATCGCCAGACAAGTGATGACGTCGCGCATGTCGGAACAAGAGTAGCAGTGGTTTTGCAAAACAGAAGATGAACATATATGTTCGACTTCAAGCTGAAGCGCGTGAATAGGTAGTACAATGCGGTTGCTGATTTGTTGTCACGAACAGCAGGCTTTCTAGTTGCACTAGTGACTGAATTTGATCTAAAATGGCAAACATCTGCACGCACAAGATAAAAAGGTGTGTGACCACTTCAGGATGATAGAGGCATTGCTGTCTCTGAGAAAGAGTAGGTTCGAAAGACACTGTGATCGATTCTCGAGTCCCTTAAAAAGCTTGTTCTTTGAGGAATGTCATGATACAGTGGGACACTTCAGGTTCAATAAGATGTACGCTAACCTGCGGTGTGCAGGGGGACCTGGCGCTATCACACAGAGATGAAGCGCCAGGCACCAACACACATGGATGAGGAGGAGGGACGAGAGACGAAGAGGGGGAGAAGGAGAGATGCCGACAACCCAAAATGTCGTCGATACCGATCCCAAAACAGTCACCAACAATGTCGGTGCTATGGCAACGTCATGTTCTCTGTTGCTGGAGGGAAACATAAAGTTTTCCAGTTCTTTTTTCTTTTCCAGAGGAGGAAGAGAGCGCCTCGGAGCCTCCCCTTTTGTACATACATCAACTACTTGTGCCAAGAGGAATCGCAGCGTTCACCGACTCAGCATATGCCGTTTCCCGTGTGTCATCCTTGAAAGCGCAGCGGTCATGCTAATCTTGTCTAGGTTCTCAGTATCGTTCCAGTCTTACCGGATGTCCCGAAGGCCCAGCATGTCGTTTTGATAGCACGCCAAACCCACATACCAAATGATTCCAACGAGTCAGTACGGGACCAACTGCTGAAAGTGTCCTCGGCCCCAAACCAAACGATTACATCAAAAATTGTGTTCAGAGAAAAACAGACACAAGAAGTTTCGCATAGAATGGACTGTAAGGCAGAACAAAAGAAAACAAAACAAAAAACTTTTGCCTAAACATTCGTAAGCTTCGACCCTCACTTCCGGGAAAAGTTAAAAAAAAAAGCCTAAACGTCGGGCAAAGCAGGACGAGGAAGGTATTGCGGTTGACGGACGGTGGTTGAGCAAGCGATGGCAACCTGCAATCCATGCAAGAGCTCACGGGAGGCTAAACTATGCTGTTCACTGCCCTTATTTCACGACGAGGGTATTTAGTGGACACACACAATATACGAACCAAACCTGAGCTCTCTTCACGATCTTGCCGTCACAAAATGCTCTCTGGAAGCTGAAGTCTTTTCTTTTTCTTCTTGCTTACTAACCACTAATGTCAAATTCTCCAAGGCGGTCCCCGCTTCACAAAATGGTCTTCAGTCGTCAATGTGAACAAAACATCAAAAGAGTGATTTCCCTCTTCGCGACGATGGCGAGCCACGGTAGTTTTCAAGCACCTTCCTAGAGCTTTTCGTCTTCTTCTTCACAATTCATCGAAACGCAATGCACAAAAGAGTCAACTCCCAAAAAAAAAACAAAAAAAAAACTCCGAGAGTCTGAGGACTGACAAAAAAAATACAGCACAAACCAAAGACGGAGGTATTGCTGAGCTCAAAACACACATACAAACACACACACACACACACACACACACACACACACACACACACACACACACACACACACGAGGAGCACCACTGCCACAATCCACTCAACCGGATCCACCCGCAGGGACGACGAAATGCAATGCATGAAAAAAGAGTCAAAAAGAGTTAAAATTCCAAGGGCTCAAAAAACAAATTTTCAGCACAAACCCAAGTCCAAGGAAATTGCTGGACGAGGAAGAAAAAAAGAAAAAAACAAGAGGAGCACCGCTGCCGAGATCCAATGAACCAGCCAGATCCAACGGCAGGGACTAACACAAGAATTGCACGCCGCCTCCGCCACTTCCTTGCTGTTACGCGCAACAGCTTATTAGCCAGTTTCCTTAACAGCTCCCGTTCTCAGAGTCTAGGAGAGAAAAGCAGAGGGCCTGCACACCCCCTCCTCCAGACTCTGGTCACATCCACGACCTCAATAAATCATTGTTGAAAGGCGGCGCATCACACCAGGTCCTGCTTGCTCTGGCCATTCCATGACCCAAAACAAATACCGTCACGGGGCAGCATTGCATTGTGCAACTTAACCCACACTTATTACTCACGTGACCACAAACACAACCTTGCAAAAAA